TTCCTGCAAGACCCAGCCCACATGTGACTTCCTCCATGAAGTCTTTCTGATTCTCCGAACTGAATGAGATCTATTCCTGCTCAGATTGTGTTAGAGTAATTTGTAGTGACTCTCTTTTCTTCTTATTTTATGCACACTTGTACTATACACAATTGTACCTTGTTACACTTATTTGCATCTCTGTATCACAAAATGTTAAGCAATGACTTAAAAAAATAATGAAGCATATTTAGTCACATTGATCTTATTACTATTAATATTTTAATAAGAGTAAAAATGTTTAATACCCTTAATATAGTAGTCAAATAATTTCAAATATTTTATTTCATCTATATCTCATTCTTTTAAGTTTGCATTATTGTGTATAGTTATAATGTATATTATGTATTAGTAGAACATGCATAATGTAGTACACATATAGCTTAAAGCTATTAAAGCTTAAAACTACACTAGGACTTTTGGGACATCCTCTAGTACTTAAACATAATGAAATAAAAACTAAGTATAGATATATTTTGCATTCAAGTTTGAGAATATTTTACTGATATGGCTGTGCAATCAGCATAGTTCAGAGACTAATAGCTTAGACAAGGAGGCGAACAAGGAAAATAAATGTCCAGATGTGGATTCAAAAAGGAAGAGTTTTCTTACGTATCTTCCACACCACCACATTCAGCCAAAAGTTGTTGGCAAACTTTACATGACAATTTGTTTTTTGTTGTGACTCTGATCATCATCCTACTTATTTAATGGAGGTTAAAGCATCCACCAGCAGTTCCCTGGGTCTTAGCCAGCAGAAAGCCAGTTTTACAACCATGACACTTGCTTCTGGAGTGAAGACCATAAAAGAAATTCTTTGTATAGCCCTCTCTTTTGCCCTTATAATACCTTGTATCATACTCATACATACACCATGATCCCAATATACTGTAAGATCTCTGAGGCCAAGAAGCATATTATGATCCATCCTTGAGACTACCAGTACATTGTCAGGTACTTAAGCACTTAAGTAATGAAACACTATCAGGTGCTTAATTTTTTTTAATTGTTAAATTTCATGACTTAGCATTTAAATAAGAAGAACTGAATTAGGTCAAGACATTGCTCAGGTCTACTTGGGAAAGCACATCTATGGGCCTGAAGTCATTACAGGGAGGGGAGGGAGTTCTTTTTTCCTTCTGTCACACCAATAGGAAGATCTGCACTTGGAAAATAGAGTCTAGAAGAAGACATACTGTCTCTCTTTTCCCCCTTCTTCTTGTCAAGTGATTTCTTTCCCATTCTGGTTGGAAAAGGAAAGGCTGAAAGAGAAATAATGAGAATCCTGAGACACTATTATTTGGTCAGAAAAAAAAAAATGAGATTACAAGAGGAGATAGGTATATCCATTAGCTCAGATAAAAGGTAGTGTTGTTGCATATTCACCTGTATGCCTCAGTGCCTCATAATAAGTCATGAGGGATCTGATCCTAAAATGAGATTTCAAGTGGAGTCGAAAAAGGAACTTTTTCACCATGTGTGGGAATAATACATATGACCGGATTAGAACACAATGATTCTATTATATATTAAATATCTTCAGGTATAATATATAATAAAATTAAAATTTAATTTTTTAAATCTCAGCAAAACTCTTCCTATGAGATTTTTTTTTTATTAAAGAGCATATGTTCTTAATCTTTAGAAATATTATGACTTTGACATGAGCCTGCTGGTGTTTCCATATAAAAAGAGATTTCAGTAATGTGACTTCTATTTAGAAAGCCAAAGGCAGTATCCCAAACAGATTTTTTTTAACTCTTTTTTTTGGGGGGGGGTGAGGCAATTGGGGTTAAGTGACTTGCCCAAGGTCACACAGCTAGTACGTGTCAAGTGTTTGGTCTGAGGCCAGATTTGAACTCAGGTCCTCCTGACTTCAGGGCCGGTGCTCTATCCACTGCGCTACCTACCTGCCCCGCCAAACAGATTTTTTTAAAAAAGGAGAAGTGCCTATTTATACAAAAATATTTATAACTGTTCTTTTTGTGGTGACAAAGAATTGGAAATTGAGGCGATGCCTATCAATTGGAGAATGGCTGAGCAAGTTTTAATTTTCATTTTTCTGATAGTGATTTAGATAATTTTTCCCATATGACTATCGATAGCTTTGATTTCTTCTTTTTTTTTGTGAGGCAATCAGGGTTAAGTTAAGAGTCACACAGCTAGTAAGTGTCAAGTGTCTGAGGTCAAATTTGAACTCAGGTCCTCCCAACTCCAAGGCTGGAGCTTTGTCTGTTGTACCACTTCGCTGCCCCTGATTTCTTCTTCTGAAAATATAGTTCATATCCTTTGAACATTTATAAATTGGGGAATAGCTCTCATTTTTATAAATTTGGCTCAGTTCACTATATGTTTGAGAAGTGAAGTCTTTATTAGAGAAATTCATTTTAAAAAATTTCCCTGTTGCCTGCTTTCCCTCCAATTTTGACTGCATTAATATTGTTTGTGCAAAACCTTTTAAATTTTATGCAATTGGTATTATTCAATTTACTTCCTGTGATCCTCTCTATCTCTTTTTTGAACATAAACCTTCCCCTTATTTATCGATCTGATAGGTAAAATTTTCTATTCTTCCCTAATTTGTTTATAATATCACTCTTTATGTCTAAATCATGTTCCCTTTTTTACTTTATCTTGGTATATTGTATGAGATTTTGGTCTATGCCTCGTTTCTGCAAACTACTTTACAGTTTTCCTAGCAATTTTTTTAAATCAAATAATGAATTTTTTTCCTAAAAGCTTGGATATTTGAGTTGATCAAAAACTACTATGGTCATTTACTACAGTGTATTGTGTACCTAATCTATTGCATTGATCCACGACTTCATTTCTTAGCCAGTACCAGTTTGTTTTGATGATTATAGCTCTGTAATATAGTTAGAAATTCTAGTATTTCTAGGCTACCTTCTTTAATATTTAAAAAAAAGATTCCTTTGATATTCTTGCCCTTTTTTATTCCTGATAAATTTTATTATTATATCTTGTAGCTCTATAAAATAATCTTTAAGTAGTTTGATTGGCATGGCAACAAATAAATAAAGTTAGGTAGAACTGTCATTTTTATTATATTGGCTCATGCTACCCGTGAGCAATTAATATTTCTCCAGTTGTTTAGATTTGTCTTTATTTGTGTGAAAAATATTTGCAAATTTATTCATTTAGTTTCTGGTTTTGTCTTGGCAAGAAAGATTTCCAAATATTTTATATTGTCTGCAGTTATTTTAAATTGAATTTGTTTTTCTATCGCTTCTTATTTGGCTTTGTTAGTAATATATGGAAATGTTCGAGATTTATATGGGTTTATTTTATATCCTGTTACTTTGCTAATGTTGTTCTTTTGGTTCAACTAGTTTTTTAGTTGATTCTTTAGGGTTCTTTCTGTATGCTATCATATAATCTGCAGCGAATAATAGTTTTGTTTCTCCATTGCCTATTGTTATTTCTTGAATTTCCTTTTCCTGTTTTATTGCTATAGCCTTCATTTCTAGTACAATATTAAGTAATAGTGGTGATTATGGAAATCCTTGATTCAACACTGATTTATTTTATTTTTAATTTATGGAATAAAACAAGCATTTTGATAACATAGTACAATAAAAAAGATTAATGTATGTGAAACTGAAAATCTACTATACACATCTTGCTATTCCTTTCAAATATACAACAAAATTATTATGCAAATTTCTTTTTTTCTTCCCTCCTTCCCATCTGTCCTAGAGATGGCTAATATTAGACACAAATAGGTATATATATGTAAAATTATTCTATACATACTTCTGTTTATTAGTTCTTTCTCTGATGCAGATAGCATCTTTCTCTATATGTCCTTTATAGTTAATTTGGGAATCTATGCCCTTTGACCATTTATCAATAGAGGAATGACTCGCATTCTTATAGATATGATAAAGTTCTTTATATATATCCCCCATGGAACAGTTGAAAGGAGAGAACCAAACACACTTTCTTCATCACACTGTCTCTTAGCCATTCAGCCAGTAAAGGTACTTTATGATGAGAACAAGACAGCTCTATCATTGAAATATTCTATAGGACCATTAGATAAATAAAATAAAAATAGTTTTTATATAGTTATGAAATTCTCATAGCTGATGAGAACTTATCAAACCTAAAACAAAAATATTAAGATTCCTCCAGCATTTCTCTGACCTACTGCCTTCTTGTGGTCACAGATTTCCTTGTTTTACTGGTGATTTCTCAGTACTCTCATTACTTCTCTTCCCTATCTCTCCTCTTCCACCTAAAAAGAGAAAGAAATCACTGGCATCTCTTCTCCAATTCATGGTCCTCTGCTTTGAGGTCCTTCCACTGATGTGGCAGTGACAGGTGAGAAGAGAACAAATTATCTAATTGGGCAGTGGTATGAAACCCCAAACTTTTCTTCTCCCAGTAAGATAAGCATATCTTGAAAATTTATTAATATTTTTGCATTACTCTTTTTTTCACAATCCATCCTTCCCCCACAGCACCTTCCCTTGTTACAAAGAAATACATTCAAGAAAAAACAAAATGACTTGTCAGAATATACCTCATTCTGCACCTGTAGTTTACCATTTCTTTATTAAGAGGAGGGGTATGTTTCATCATCAGTCCTCCAAACCTAGATTGGTCCTATCATTAGAACTCAGTTCTGAGTTCTGATTTCTTGTGATATGTGTGTGTGTGTGTGTGGTCATGTTTTACCATACTACACTCATTGTGTATATTCATCTCTTGTTTCTGCTTACTTCTCTGAATACTAATTCAGATAATACTAATATTTGGCTTACTAAATATCTATAAATTCTTCACATTTATCTTTTCTTACCAGATAATAATATTCCATTACATTCCCATCACACAACTTATTGAGCCCTTCTCTAGTTGATAGGCATTGAATTTGTTTCCAGTTTTTTGCTACCAGATGGGTCTAATTTTTCTTATACAATTAGTTATGACATTAAAAATTTTTAAACATTTATTCAGCTCTCAGTATGTGCAAAGGATAGGGACAAAATGAAAAAAAAAATTATATAGCCCTTGCTCTCAAGGAACTTGTTAAATGTACACAAACAAACATAATGCATGGTGAAAAGTCATATAACAGAGTAGAGATCTAGAGTGAGTGTTTTAGAGGAAGGTGCTTTCAGCTGGAGACATCAAGAAAGATTTCATGGACCAGGCAGCGCCTCAGCTGGTTCTTGAAGCTGGAAAGGTTTTCAATAGTCTTCCTTTTTCAATACTGCTATGGAGTTTGTAGATCTTGGGATTCTTTCAGGAACCATTTTTCTTTATGGATCCAATACAGAATGGAGGGCTAACAGTGAAAAAAAGTTTATTCTCAAGTTCCTTCCAAAACCTTTGCTAGACCCCAGGAAAACCCAAGGATCTTTCTTCATTTAGTTTGTCTAAGTAGATCTAGGAAATTGTGAGTATTGGCCAGATGGAAAGTCTCTGGCAGAAAATATTTTGGGAAAGAGAAGCTCCTAAATGCCTCCTCAGTGAAAAATGGGGCAAAATTTATTGTCTGTCCTGCCTCTTTGTCATCTATAGATGAAGCTTTTGTGCTATGAAGGTCAGGTACAGTCCTGGATTCTCTGCTGATGTTATGTCTTTGCTTTGTCTAAATAATTATTCATTATCGACCTCTGAGTCCATCTTGGAGTCCTTATCGCTTTCCTTTTGGCTTATCTGGACCTTCACATCTTGGGGTTTGGGTTATTCTCTTTTCTTCTCACCTAAATAAAGTATCATTTGATTAAGTAAAAAGATTTTTTTTTCTTTCTGGAATGGGCTCTTTTCATTCCATAATAGACACAGTAGCAGAATAAAGGGGCCTTTGTTCATCTTGCAGTGGATGTGAGTCACTGGAGGAGAGCGACTGGAATTTTGTTCAAGTAATTCAATCACAATAGCCATCCTCTCCACCCATTTTACACCCTCCATAAGTATCATCCCCTCCGTAAGTATCACTCTCACAATATGGTGCAGGGGAATCCGTATTGTTAAGGCAAGTCCAGTATGGAGAGAAATTCCTGTGGTGGTTGGTATGGTCAGCTAAGTGACCATGATGATAAAGATAAGTATTTGACATTGAAAAGAGGAGAGGTGAAGGTGAGTGATTGAATGTGGCCACAGAAGCACTTTGGAACAAGGGGTCTTGCAGCTGACTTCCAAAGGCTTTGCTGTGTGCCAAAAAACATAACAGGCAAATAAGGAAAAATACAATCGACAGAAAAATGAAGGCCTCTATGATTATATATATTTCCATTTTGTTAAGGGTCAAAGGCTATTCATGACCAAAGAAGCACAGTTAGTAAGGAAAAAATCATCTTGTCCATTTTTCCAGTTTGAGGTGCAAAGTTTCATGCTTTGCAAGGTGTTAAATTGTTTCTTCCTTCCTGCTGCTGGTTCTTTTTCCTGCTCACTTTTACACTGGTTTTTAGGTCCTCAGTTCACAACTGAGCTCTCTCTACATTTCAAGAATTCTGATGTTTCCTGGCACTCAGGAAACATCTTTTGGCAGGAACATCTGGAAGACAGAATCATAAAAATCATAGGGAACGTGCACTAATAATGGAGTCCACTAAAGATTAGTTTTTTTAAGAATTAGAGAGTAGTTCTGAGTGTCTACAAATTGTCCTCAAGAGTTATCCACTTTTTGTTAGAAATACCTTTCATATATAATACGCATTATTCTACTTACCTATTGGCCCATCAAGTATGATCTTTATTAATCTATTTATAGGGTAAATCGAATTTCATAATGTCCAGAACCTTAATCAAATCTTAAAGTGGTTTAAAAATAATTTGGAAACAATGTACATTTTAAGAATCCAGGATTTTATGACCAGAAAGATGGCAGTAGTTTTTTCTACAACTATGACCCCAAACATTTTTTAGAGAGCTAGAAGAGGAAAGATGACAGGAAATTCATCTGGGGCCTGATAAACCTCAGGGTCATAGATTTCACAAGAGAATATGATGACAAGAAAATTATCTAGAACTTTTTGAATACCAACAACAAAACACTGTTTGAGTAAATCTACAGATTACTACTACCAGCACCACTCCCCCCCCCAAAAAAAACTTAAACATAACCAAAAAAAAAACTCTAATATATTCCCTTGAAATTTGAAGGTATTGCAAAGGTAACATAGTGGATAGAGTGTAGGGCCTAGAGTCAGGAAGACTCATCTTCCTGAGTTCAAATCTGGCTTCAGACACTAACTAGTCGTGTGACCTTGGGCAAGTGACTTAACCCTGTTTGCCTCAGTTTCCTCATCTGTAAAATGAGCTGGGGAAGGAAATGACAAACTACTCCAGGATCTTTGCCAAGAAAACCCCAAATGGGGTCAGGAAGAGTAGGACATGACCGAAAAATAACTAAATGACAAGGTAGATCATACCAGTTTCACAGTTTCAATGGATAGGTGGAACTAGGCTGGCGACTTCATTAATATAGGGAAATCCAACATGAGAAAACTATTTTTTCCAATGTAAATAAGCACCTTTTCTGAAATTTAGAGTTTTAAGGAATTGCCTATAGCTGTGGAAGATTGAGTGATTTGCTCAGATTAGTACAGCCAGTTTGTTTTAAAAGGCGTAAATTAAACCTAGGTCTTCTTAGCTTCAAAGTTGGTTCTTTATTTACTATGAAATGCTGCTTCTCACCTTCAATAGCAATAAATTTGACACGCATCAAGGAGAAAGATCATTAGATGTAAAGAAATGGAAATTTAAATAACTCAGAATTACCATAGGCTTCAGGAATTGGTGGAAGGAAATTACAAAAAAGCAAAGATGTTCAAACCACAAGGCAAAATAATATGCTGTGTTATAATTGTGTCTTGTTCTGGTCCCCTGACCACCCCACCCCCTTCTAGTCAATACTGTAAGTTTTAGCAGGAAATAAGATTGTAAAGGAAAACCTGAAAGTCATGTACAAACCGTCCCAAAGACCAAAGGAGCATAATTTACAAATTGTATCATGTATTAACCAATATTCACACCTTGGTTGTGCCGGTCGCGCCGTGCACTCTCCTTCTAACAGGAGCAGGCTGCCAAGGTCATACTTACCAGTCTTCGGAGCCCACCCGGATAAACATAGAGACGAGCCAATCAGGAGGTGCAAGCACACGAACTTTATTCAGAGGCCATCACAGCAAGGCGAAGTAGGAAAGCAAGAGCAAGAGAGCGTAAGCTCCAACCCCTACCACCCCTATATGTCTTCCTAGCCCCTCCTCCTCAGCCCGCCTACCAGTGAATGATTGTAGGATCAGATACCGGAAGGGGATGTCTGGGGTTAGCACTGCACCAAGGGAGAGGACGTGACAAAGGAAGCTAGGCCCGGATACTGGAAGGAGAAGTCTGGGGTTAGCACTGTACCTAGGGAGAGGACTAGACAAAGGGAGCTCGTTCTCTGCCTTCCCACTCCCACATGGCACAGCCCCCTGCCTCAGGAGCACATGCTCCAGCTACTTCCCCGTATCCTGTTCCTATCCCAGTTCATCACAACTCCACATGGCACCGCCCCCTGCCTCGGGAGCGTGAGCTCTGGTTATTTCCCCGTATCCAGGTCCTATCCCAGTTCACCACAACTCCACATGGCACAGCCCCCTGCCTCGGGAGCGTAAGCTCTGGTTACTTCCTAATATCTTGTCCCTGCCCCATCTTGCCACAAACCCCACGTGGCATGTAGCCAACATCAGACAATCCCTCACACTTGGTAATATGTGATGAATCAAGGGAAACCATCTAGGCACTGCTTGTCAAAGCTTCTGGTCCTATGATATAGACATTCCAGACAAAATCCAGACCTCCACAGTTTCAGATCAACAGAATATCAAGAAAGTGTTGATAACTTTGAGACGATGACTTTGAAATTTTACTGATAACTTTGAGATGATCTGGATTTGTTAATAAACTAACCCTAAGGTGGCACAAGATAAGGGTTGGTCTGTTTGCCCCCAAAACCTCAAACTCCTGTCCCCTGAGTACTCCTCCATCTCCATTGGGTCCATGCTGCCTAGCACTCCCAACTCTAATCCATTGTTATGAAAGTGATACTCTCTGCCTCTCCCTTCCTCATCCTTTTCCCCATGCTGCCTTCCTTTACCATCCCATTCCCTGTTCCTGTGCCACCATCTACTTCTGTTCCACTTTTCATCACTTGTCTCTGCCTTTTTGAGCTTTTTGCCCCCATTCCCTTTGTGTTTAATTAAAGTGTGATTGCCACCCTGTTTCCCACTACCATTGTGGTCTTTCCTAGTGAGCACTTAAAGAACTAGGTGTGTCTGTCCTTATTTAATGATTTCATAAATTAATTATTAATCCATATACCCTAGAAAGTAGAGCTTCATCATCAATGAAAACAGTTGGATCTTTAACAACATAAAGATAAACAAGTACCTTATCTCTCCCCTGCAAAAGCTCAAAAAAAGAAATCAGTTTTATCATGTTTATATTCTATTCTTCTTTTTTTGTTGTTGTTTATTTGTTTTTGGTGAGGCAATCAGGGTTAAGTGGCTTGCCCAGGGTCACACAGCTAGAATGTTGCAAAGGTCAGATTTGAACTCAGGTCCTCCTGACTCTAAGGCTGGAGCTCTACCCACTGCGCCACCTAGCTGTCCCTCTATTATTCTTTAAAAAGAGATTGAATTGAAGGGTAAAAGAAAGAGATAGGAGGGATAATCAATAGAGAAAAATATTTAAGGCAAAAGATTTAAGGGAAAGTTAAGGAATCATAGAATGGTGAGAAAAAAAGACTAGAATGTGACTTAATAATGGCCAGAGGAGCACTTTGGAACGAAATGTTTTGAAGCCTCCTTCCAAGGGCTTTTCTATATGTCAAATAGCATAATAAACAAATAAAAGAGAAAAGAAATGATAACAAGAGACAAGACAATTATAATCATATACATTTCTAATTTCTGGAAGAACTCAACAACTTGATTGAAGAAAGAGATGAATTGATAACTCAGACTAAGTCTCATAAGTGAATTGATATCTTTTGTATAAGTGATAGAATTGGGGGAAGTTGTGTGAATGAAGAGATGAAAGGTAAGAGACAAAGAATAGCTATAGATTCACACCCACCAATTCTATAGGTGAGAAGGTATAATAAACACTTTAGTTTCTTAGCCAAAAGCAGGGATGGGGTGGGTTAGAGAGAACAGGATAAATGCAATAGAGTTAAGAGATTGGTTGGAGGATTAGTTGGGAAGGGGCTCACACTGGAAGGGAAAGGAAAATGAACTACTAAAGAATGTTCCCATAGAGAAGAAGTATATGCCTGTGGTAAGAGATGGGGCCTCATAATAGATTTTATGTGAGGGAATTTTGCACATCAGGATGAACCTTTTATGAAGGGAGATAGGCAGGAAGCATTTATTAAGAGTCTACTATTTGTCAGTCACTGTGTTGGGTGCTATACAATTTTTATCTCATCTGATCCTCAAAACAACTCTGGGAGTTAAGTGCTTTTATTATCCCCATTTTATATTAAGAAAACTGAGGTATAAGTTAAGTGATTTGCCCAGGGTCACACAGCTAATAAGTATCTGAGGCTGGATTTGAACTCATGTCTTCCTGATTCCAGGCCCAGCACTTTATTTACTTGTCCATCTAGCTGCTTCTATGAGAAGTTGTACCTCAAGTACAGCATCCCACCCCAGGAGAGGAGGTGTATGAGTTTCCAAAGGAAGCTGGCACCTCAAGTAGTAGGGAGGACATGGAAACAAAGATAGGATGGGCTTAAGAATAGAGACAAGTCATCCCTGGGTACAGGATAAGATGGAGTGTCGAGTGTGTGATTTAGAAGACAAAGCAAATCCACTCACATGACATTGTTTCCATTTGACACTGTTTCCTTTGTGAATTGATATTTCTAAAAGTGAGGCACATTAGAAAATGGGGAGAATAGAGCAAGACCTAAAAATACAATCTTGGATAGGTGAGAAACTTCAACTTTGCTATTTCAGAAGTTCTAATCTCATGTGGGACACAGAAAGAATGAAAAAGAAGAAAAAGGGAGCATCAACTATGAAATGGAGAATAGAATTCAAAATAGAAGAGTAGCAAAAGGAAATGAGGACAATATGAAGGAAATCTTGGCAAAGTGCTTCAACAAAAGAATGTTTTTTTAAAAGAAGAGATTGGTGGGAAAACTGGGGAAGGAAGATTTAGAAAAAAAGGCTTGATAGTGATGGGCAAGTGAAAGGTCAAAAGAGGAGGAGAAATAAATAAATAAATATGTAGATGCTATGTAGATAGAGAAATAACTTAAGTAAATTCAGAGAACTAAGGACAAGACAGGGAAATGCCAAAAAGGGAGAGCCTATGGGAACAGAGTAGAATAAAACTTGTATAAGCAAAACTAACTGCGAGAGTCGTGGTAATAAAGCCAATTTAAAAGAAATAACTAAAGGAAAATATGTTCAACAGTAATAGCCTTAAATATAAATAAGTAAAATAAAATAATTAAATAAAAAGAGTGATAGAGTGAATACTAAATAAAAGTCAATGATTTTTGTATATAAGAAAAAAACCTAAAAATAAGGATATAGAGGATGAAAATCAGAATGGGAACAAAATTTACAGTAATCAGGTGAATCCCTAAAAGTTGGAGTTGCAATTCTGCTAACAGACAAAATAACAATAAAAATCCACAATGGCAAGAGAGAAAATAGGGCAAGTTCATATATTTTAAGGAACTATAGACAATGAAACAATGTCAAAGCTAAGTATACACATAACATGTGCCATAGCATCTAGATTCACAAAGGAAAATCTAACTGAACAGCAAAAATCCATAGTTAACTTAGAGTTTGTGAGACTAATGTCCTCATTTCAGATATTATAATATTATAACCAAAAACATTACGTTAATAGAAGCAGGAAAAGAGCTTTTGTCAGAGAACAATAATCATTTCTGTTAAAAAAAACCCTAAAAAACAGCCACGGAAAGGCCATTTTGCAACATGATAAATATATATACATATGTATATATATATATATATCTGAGACCAAGAGGTAGCATTATTTGAGATGAAGAAACACTAGAAGTTTTTTTTTCCATAAATACAGAAATAAAAAATGGAAAAAAATCTCAAAGTAACCCTCTTTGGAGAAAACATGATGGATTATTTTGGAAACTCCAGAGAACTAGCAAAGAATCTGAAATAATTAACACCTTCAGCAAAGTATCAGGACACAAAATAAGTCTACAAAAAATTATCAGGAATTCTATAAAACAAAGCAAAACCAGGTGGAAGTAATAGAAAAGAAATTCCATTCCAAACATCTACAAAATATGTAAACTATATGAGAATCAATCTGCCAAGAAAGGCTTAATACATATATAAATATAATTACAAAATATCTTCAGGGAGATAAAAAATGACTCAAATAATTGGAGCAATACTCACTGATTATGGCTAGACCTCACCAATATGATAAAAAAAATGAGACTTATACTTAATTAATTTTCAGGTATATTACTATGCTTATCAAACAACCAAGAAGGTTCTTTATAAAACTGGATAAAATAAGAACAAAATCCATTTGAAGGAACAAAATATCTAGAAACTTAAAAGGAAATAATAAATAAAAGTAGGAATGAGGGGAAAGAAGTGCTTCCAAACCTCAAATTATGTTGTAAATATAATCATTTTGTACTGGTTTAAAATGGAAAAGCAGATCAGTAGAACTTGTTGCAATAAAGATGAAACAAAAATAGTTGGAGTCAATAATCCAGCAGTTGATAAATCTGAGAATATGAATTACTTAGGGGAAAACTATTTGACAAGAGCTGCTGGGAATATTAGAAAGCACTTTGGCAGAAATTAAATCAATACCAACATCTTAGACCATCTACCTTGATAAGCTCAAAAAGGATAAATGGCCTGATTGTATAAAAGGTCATACTATAACACAATTATAAGAGAATGAGATCAGGTACCTTTTACAACTTTTGCAATGGGGAGAATTCTTTAACAAAACGGGACAGAGGAGATCCCAAAAGATGAAATAGACACTTTTGATAAAAATGAAAGTGAAAAACCGTGGTGTGAAAAAAACCAATGCCATGGGAATAAGAAAGGAATCTGCCAAGTAGGGGAAAAACCCTTTGTATCAAATGTCTATGGTATAGGTCTGATATCAAAGACACTTAGTGGGCTAAGAGGAATATATGCTTTTCTCAAAAGATGAACCTCAAGCTATTAACATTCATATATTTAAATCACTAGCAATATGATAAATGAAAATGAAAACAATTCCAAAACTTTACCTTACACAAAGGAAATAGGCAAATATGAAAAAATATAGACATAGTCAACATTGGAGATATACTAACACAGTGTTTGTGGAATTATGAATTAGTCCAACCATTATGGAAAGCAATTTAGAATTATGTTTAAAAAAAAGACTAAAATGTCCATATTCTTCTATCTAGAGACTCTACTGCCAGCAATATATCTAAAAGTGGTCAAAGACAGAAAGGGCCTAGGCTCAACAGAATGTTTCTAACAACCATTTTAGTAGTAGCAAAAATGTAATATCTGGTAGATGTCCATCAATTGGGGAATGTCTAAAAATTTTAATAGGGGAATCTACATTTATTTCATTGAAAAAAAATGATGAGTACAAAGAATGCACAGAAGCATGGGAAAACTTACATGGATTAGCCCAGAAAAAAAAAAGAAAATAGAGCCAGGAAAACTGTGTGTGGGTGTGTGTCTGTGTGTGTGTGTCTGTGTGTGTGCGTGTGCATGTGTAGATAGGTAGATGATAGGTAGAGATAGCTATATATGTATAGACACATATATGTACATATGTGTGTACACAGTGTGTCTATATATGAGTGTGTTTGTATATATATGTGTATGAAGAGAGGGAGAGATGGTGGTGGTGGTGATGATGATGATGATGATGATGACTACAATGATATAAATAGAAAGGAATAAGTTTGGTCCCAAAGAAGAGAAGAGAAAATGAATTTCCCTTCCTTCATTGGAGATGTGAGTGGGTGGGAGGTCTATCTGGATAAAATATTTCATACATTGTCAGGCACAATTAATATGTTGGTTAATTTTTCAGAGTAGTCCTTATCAAGGCTACTCTAGTTAGGATTAAAGATTTAAATATGGATTGACGAGATGAAATCTGATTTAATTTTCAACTCTAAGGATGTATAATTTCATTCTCTCTAACAAGGAGAAAGATCTGAAGTCTAAAGAGACAAGAACAAAAATGATTAACAGGGAAGTGACACGTAAGATAAGCGACAATATGGCAAGAGGACCATGAACTCAAGTCACCTGAATTGTATTTTCATTGTCTGTTGAGCAGGAAGAGACTGTAAGAGCATCTTGCCCAAACCCTTTGTTTTTCAAGTAAAGAAAAAGGCCTGGGTAGGTGAAATGATTTGGATTCATAAGTCAGGGGAGTCAGAATTTGAATCCTGGATAGGAAATAAATATGCAGAGGGATTAAGTGATTTGCTCAGGGTTAGACAAGCAGCACCTGTGGGAGCTGGGGCCTAAACTCTAATCTTCAGACTCTAACTCTGACGCTTTCTGCTGTAACACACTGACTCTTTCAAATTAGGACTCTAGGATTTAGAGATGGGAGGGATTTCAGAGGTCATTTAGTGACAGTCAATTCAAAATGAATTTACTAAGTGCTTACTCTGTGAAAGGCACTATGATAAGTATTAAGGATAAGAAAAAGAGTGAACATTTGTCTCCAAGGAGCGTACATTACACCAGAGCTGGGGGATACAATATGAGGAAGGTGAAAACACCAACCACTGGGAGGGAGATAGAAAGGATTCTTTTAGAAAGTGAAACATGAGTTGAACCAGCTCCCAGGCAACTAGTTGGCACAGTGGATAGAGCACTGGGCTTGGAGTCAGGAAAACTCGAGTTCAAATTTGACTTCAGATGTTAGTTGTGTGCCTGTGGACAAGTCCTTTGTCTGCTTCAGTTTCCACAACTGCAAAATGGGAATAATAGTAATACTACTGACCTCCCAGGATTGTTGTCAGCATCAACTGAGATAATATTTATAAAGCACTCTGCACAGGCCTGGAAAACAGATGCTCAAAAATGTGTTTCTTTTCTTCCTTCCTCATCTATAAAATGAAGGTATTGGAATAGAAAGCATCTGAGATCCCCTAAAGTTCTATATCTATGATTCTGTAATGCTAAATTCTTTCAAAATCCTAGTTTCAATTTTTCTTTTAAAAAAAACGTGCTATTAACTGGGGTTTTATTTGATGCCAAATATAGAGATAAGTAGGTTGCTTTGTTTTGTTTTACCCAGGATGCAGGCTCACTGTAGGAACTGAAACCTTTTCTCCTCATGTTTGGCTTTTATTTTATAAAATAGTGAAATTTTCCTCAAGATTCAATTAAATACTATTTGACAAGCAGATATTAACTGCCTACCATGGACCAGGCACTAAGCTAGGCAGCAGACAAAAAAGAAAAGACAGTCCTTAACCTCAAGGAGATCTGATGATATCATCTCAGTTAGCGGCAGGGAGGAAAAAAACAACCCAAAACTTTTGCAACTTCCTCATTTGTTCAAAGCCACGATTGCATGCAAGGATGTCTTAGATCCTTTCCTGGCTAAAACCTTCTGTGAGCCCATGAATTTTAGAAACTAACAACCAGAAATGTGCAGAAACACATGTGTACTAAATGCTGAGGACAAGCTTGAACTTGTCTTCCTGTTTCCAAGCCCCTCATTCACTCTCTATCCTTTGCCCCTGAGCTCCCTTAATCTTCCTTTTTGGAGAGTTTCACCACCTGACCCAAAGGAGTTTCAAGGATTCTAAAATCTGCTCTCACTGTCTGTCAGCTCTCCCATACTGCTGGTGTGGGGGTAGGGGTGGAGAGGTAAGCTTTTACATCCTGGACAAAGGCAACTGTAGGAACTAAGGAGGAAGGAGTCTTACCTGCAGCAACTGGAGACTTCTCTCTGGAGGGTTGGCAATGCAGGACAGAAAGCAAGCTGCAACCAGACCTGTTTCCCCTATAGCCTTGAGGAATTCTCTTTGGCTGCTGCCCTGAAGTTGGAAAACTTGGTCTGGTGTGGCTGTTTGGGGGTGTCGCAACTGAGCCCCTCAATTGTTAGTCATTCTTAGGCCACCACCCTCTCTCCCATCTCAAAAAAGTCCCTCCCACATGGAACTTGGAAGTCATCCATACAGCTCAGCAGTCCTCCACAGTTCAGCCCTTCCTTTTCCCTGCAACTTTCCACCAGGAGTAACCCAAACACAGACATTCTCCTTCCTGAGAGTTAAGTAAACTTTGATGTTTTGACAGTTGCTTGCTGGTTTATTTTTGCCCAGGAGGTCTGATGCCTTTGAAAATGTATTGTGGAGAAAGAAGCAGAACACCTAGAAAGGAACTCAGAGTGAATAGGAGGTGAAGAAGACAGGGAGGGAGGAAGGGAAAGGATGAGGCCTGGAAGACAGGAATAGGGGAAAGACTGAATCTATGATTTCTTTAGAATAGGGAAATCCTGGGAGAGGAAGCTTCTTCTTTCAATGCAGATTGGTACCTTCTCTGAAATTTTAGTCTTTTGAGCATTGCCCAGAGCTTGACTTGCTGAGGATGGTAGAGCTTAAATCCGAGTCTATTTGGCTCCAGTACCACCTCCCTATCCACTGTGCCATGCAACCCAGAGAAAGTAATTCCAATTAAGGTCAATAAATTTGAAAGGACAGAAAAGGGGTGGATATTCCAACATCTTCAAATATGTAATCTCTTTTCCAAGCCCAGGAAAACTTCAAGAAGCCAAGCTATCTGTGTGGGCAGAAGTGGAGGAGTGGGAGTAGAAGCCTCTTCCTACTATCATTTTGGAGATGGAACAAAAAGAAGGATGTAGGGGAGTGAAGACATGGGAATCTTTTTTTTGCTTATAGACTAGTACAACTTCCCTATTTCCTTCTTCTGGGTTTCTAAAAGGAACTCGACATTGAGCAGCATACTGATGTCTAAGGGAGACAGCCCTGCAGACCGTATTATTCACTTAATCCTGATTTTGAGTTATCATACATAACCTGGTCTCTGAGCAGAGACCAGAGTGGTGGAAATGGAATTGGAAATGAAAGGTGTGCAGATGTAATGGTGATCTCCTTTTTTTGTTCCTCACATATGACACTTCTTCTCTTGTCTCTGTGTCTTTGGCTTGGCATCCGCCATGCCTGGAAAGTACTTCCTCCTTACTGCCACCTAGCAGAATCTCTCACTTCCTTCAAGATTCAGATCAATTATTACCTCCTTCATGAAACCTTTCCTGTTCCCCCCAACTGCTAGGGCCTGCCCTCCCTAATTACTTGATATTTATTTTGTATTTATTTTACGTATTATCTTCTATTAAATGTAAGTTCTTTGACATCAGGAATTCTTTTTTTCTTTCTTTTTTTGTCTTCATACCTATATCTGGCACTATCTTGCCCTAGTACAGTACTTTGCAAATCACAGGCATTATTTATAAGTAAATAAATAAATGCTTATTGATTGGTTATTGATTCATTCATGAAACATTAAGCAACTACTCTATTTAATGTTAAGAGATCAAAATGAGGTCCTCAAGAATATTTTAATCATTTTTGTCTTTTAGATTTATGTAAATTTCAATTGGATAATGAGCTACACATAATTGATAAAAGGAGGATATTGGGCTGGATTATATTCAGAAAAATGTATAGTTATTTTTAACAGTTCCAAACTGTTAATCATAAAAGCCCATTTTAACGCCATTATTTTCCTAGGGATAGTATATTACTATGAATCATGAGGCACTACTATCAATATCTGCTTTCAGAAGAATCTTAATTATAAGTGGTTCATGGAGCAATAGAAAGACACAGGGGAGTAAAGTAGGTTGCAGAATATCATTAATGATTTGCAGGCCAAAAGTGGTGGAAAAGATTCATCAAAGACATACCTAGGAAATGATGTGGGCAAGTCACAAAGCAAGAAAGAGGAATAAGAAATGGACATTCTGCAAGAGGCTATCATAATTAAGAACTATTCAAAGAACCAAATTAGGTTTTAATCATGTTGTGTGGATCTTCTACTAATATGATTTGAAAGATAAGACTCTCACAAGGTTTGTGATATGCACACATAGTAGGGATTTCCCACCTCAGTGAGACCATGGATGCATTGAGGTATTAAAATTAAAACATAGATACCAAACTCTCTCTCTCACAGATCCTAAGAAATTCATATTTTAAAGACTGCATCTGCCTATCTTACTGATTCTAGAAGTGAAAGGACTACTCATGCATCCAATCCCATTCTGATTACCATAGGAGCTTTGACCTGCACTATTTCTGACATGCGGTTGGTTTGCTCCCATTTAGGCATCCTGGTGATTTATCCTTTCCTAGGAGCTCACCATATTTATATGAGACTTAGTGCAGACACTCAATCAGCATAGCCCGCTATAGACCACGCCACCCACACTCCAGAGGTCCTCTAGCTTCAGCCTTCCTGGGCAACTTAGATTACCATCATGTGCCACCATATCTGGCTCATATCTTTATAATATAAAAGAAAATATTTCCAAACTCAAAAATAGAGTGATGCAGAGATATTACTGTGTACAATCACTCTTTCTGCCTGCCTTGTATGATAAAAGCAAAGTCTACTTCAAATAGGCTAGGCTAGTTTTTCCCTAAAGTGGCGATGAACTATCTTTAAGATTTAATAAGGCCCCAACTATTGACATAGCTTTGTGGTTGTTTAAATTTAAAAGTCCGCACATGAAGAGTCATGCATTTCTCAGGCTTGGCATACCATATGACCAAGTGTGCCATAGTGGCAGATGACAAAGTGAGGGCAGCTGTGTTCTACTGAATCAATACGGTCTTTTTGATGAATATTCTTTCTATGTTAAATAAATTTATTTTGTTAAATTTGATTTGGTGTATAAATGTTTCATTTCCTTCCTACCCTGTATATGAATTACTGAGCCACTAGGGGGTTGAATAGTGGTTAGTGATAGTTTTGAAAAGTGAGTTTGAACAAAATATTTTAAAATACAGCCCCCAAAAAGTACAAAAAGAAACTTCTGCTACTATCTTATTAAATTTTGTAAAATATACCTCCTTAAAAACACTATATCTTACAGGTGTTCATAGTTTCTTAAACTTTTTTTATTCTTTTTATAAGAAAATATTTGTGTTTGTTGATGATTGTTAAGTTCACAATAAAAAAAGGAAATTTCTTAAAAGAAAGGGAGGATGAATGACAGAGATATTTTAGAGGTCAAATTGCAGGACTTGCAATTGATCTGATGTGGAAGGTGGGCAAAAAAGAGGAAAGTCAAGATAATGCCAAAGTTTTGAATGTGAATAACTAGGTTAATGATGGTGTAGTTGATGGAATGAGGAAATTCAGAGCAAGCGCAGGTTTTGGGGGAAGATATTAAATTCTGGTTGAATATGTTGAGTTTGAGGTGGAGATTTTCTGTAGGCAATTTGCCATGTAGACCATGAGCTCAGGAGAAAGGTTAAGAAAGTGACTGAATCTTATGCATAGCGTGTGTGTGTGTGTGTGTGTGTGTGTGTGTGTGTGTTCCTGAACTGTGCCATTAGACTTCTTTCTTCCTTTTTCTTCCTTCCTTCCTTTTCCCCTCCCTCCCTCTCTCTCATTTTCTATTTTCCTCCTTTTCCTCCTCCTCCTCCTTCTTTTTCTTTTTCTTCTTCTTCTTCTCCCTCTCTCTGTCTTTGTCTCTGTCTGTCTGTCTGTCTCTCCTCCTCCCACCCACACCCTTTTTTTTTTCTATCTAGGTAACTAAAATCTAGCATTTTGTTAGATTGAGAAGTAATAGGAACACTTATCTTTTTGCTGAGTGTTATATAAGCTGATTTTACTAATTAGGCAGGATCCCTAGCATATGTCCAGACAAGGAGCTTGCTGGAATGCTGAGTCTCAATGCAGATCCTATGGCATGATTCTGCATTTTGAGAATTGAGATTATTAAAACCTAGCAGAGATAGATGTATGCTTGGGACATTTCTAAGCCCTCAATAGTTTCTAAATAGGAAAAAGAAAGAACTTGCAGTTGCATAAAATGGTGGGGGGAAAGCAAGTAAGCCCACATAAAAGCAAGAAGATTTTTTTTTTGCTTAGGCAATTGGGGTTAAGTGCCTTACCCAGGGTCACACAGCTATTAAGCATCAAGAGTCTGAGGCCAGATTTGAACTCAAGTCCTCCTGACTCCAGGGCTAGTGCTCTATCCACTGCACCACCTAGCTGTCCCAGCAAGGAGCTTATTGTAGAAGAAAAGCCCTCGAGAAAGTAAGGCCTGGGGTAAACCATACAAGTAGAAAGACTTGTTACAACAGGAAGAAAGGATATATTCATCCTCTAAACAGGAATGAAGGAGGAAGAAATGGATACAGAGATTGAAAAACTCTGAGGTATGGGGGAGAGTTGAGGAACTTTCATTAGAAGATATTAGAGATATTTAATGATATAAAGTTATTTGCTGACCATGTGAATATGAACGTAACATAAAATATTAAGATGTAAACTGCAAAATGTTCTATATAAGCTTAGTCTGTAAATGTATGGGGTCCGGCTGAGTTTGAGGGTATGAGGAGAGAGGGAAAGGTTTGGGAAAGGCACCATGGAAAGTGAAAGAAGTTTTGAACACTTGGCATGTTGAGCAGTGGTGAGAGGCCAATTGAGGTTATGCTCCATGAATCTATAGTGTATGACACCATGTTAGAAGAATGGCATGGCCAATAGGTAACCGTTACACTGTAGTGTTGTCCAATAGAGGAAATAATAAAAGTATCTTTGCAATGGCAGTCTAAAATAGCTTTCCCTGAACCACCAGCCCTGATTAGCATGCACTAAGATAAACTTGGGATATTAATTTTGCTTCATATGCTATTGTATCCCAGACATATTGAAATGCCAATTTCCTGTCATTTCCAAAGCTATTGGACTCCTGATTTCCTGATCTCATGCTGCATCCTCCTTCATTCTTTCAAGTTGCACTTGCATCATTGGAATGCCTTCCATCCTCAACTCTGCACACGGAAATCTTTTTCTTCCTTCAATTCCCAACTGCTTCTGCCTATTAATGAAAACTTGAGGGGCAGCTACGTGACGCAGTGGATAGAGCACTGGCCCTGGAGTCAGGA